TGAGTGCCATCAGATACTTCGTCTCGCCCAAACGATCCAGCCATCGTCGACAAAACGCCAATGTCCCAAAATGCTTGTTGATCACATTGAGCAGGTTCTTCGAGCGCGCTAGTCTGTAACCGAAAGAACCGTTGTTGCTCAACGAAGTTTTTAGTTCAGTATACGGAGAATATTCTCGGATTTTTATTTATGCACACTGTACTATGCGACCTCAGAAGTAAGGGTGTTGGGAGGTGCAAACGCGATAATACATAAGTACTGTTCTGTTGAAAATCGTCAGAAGGCTACCTCGCAGCCCATCCGTGGGACAATTTACTCTCAATGTGCATTTCGACCCGGACTGATACGTCTGATAAACCATCACCTCACCTTTCCGTAAAAATAGGAGAATGGGATCATCGATGGGCCAGCGGCTGTTGATGGTTAATCTCAGAGGCACTTGCCAAACCAGGTGGGGATAGATGGACAAAAAAGTGTGCTTCGTGTTGCTATGTTCCACTAGCATCTACGGCTTCGCATTAACTGCCCAGGCGATTACAGTATTTTAATTTCGATAAATAAATTCACCACACGCACGGAATACTGCCAGTACTCTGCTTGCTAAATAATTGGCCAACGCACTGACTGTCAGTACGAAGAAGCGTTCTTTGCACAGTCCCCCGCAAGTTTTTGTCGCTGACGGCATTGTTTTTCCGACAGATGCTTCTAGTTAAAAGAATTGAACATCCCTCTTAAAATTCCAGCTTTCTAGCTTCTCTGGTTCCTAAGTTAGCAAGTTACCCTCCAAAAATTTCCAAGAACTCGTGCGTGAGAACCACGCACGCCGGGAGATAGGTTTGAAGTCATTATAGTCCACTTGAACGGGGAAGATCCTCTTAAAATCTCAGCTTTTTAGCTTTTCTGGTTCCCGAGTTAGCGGCTTACCCGCAAGAAATTCTCACGGGCCTGTATGTGGGGACAACGCAAGCCTGGGAGCTTGGTTTGAAGTCATTAAGTACTACGTGAACGAAGAACAAACACCCCCTTAAAATTCCGGCTTTTTAGCTTCTCCTGTTCCTGAGTTAGCGCTTATCCGCTAAAAACTTTCACGGGCCCGTACATGCATGTAGATTAAGTTCCCAAAATATCAGTCTTGTGGCTTTTTTAGGTCTCGAAATGAAAACTTGGCACAGACACACAGACAATCCTTCAACAACATGCATTTTTGCATTGAGTAGATGCAAAAACCCCATATGCAAAAACCCTTTGCCCATGCAAACAGCCACGTTTCAAGTAATAGGAATCAAGCTAAGTGCTGCTGAGCAATATAGTGAGAGAAGTGGAACCTTAGTGGGACATGCTCGGTATGGAGTTCATAATCCTTCATATAATGGCTGCATTCCATGTCATCATGGACATGGCCTTTGCCCGTACTACCGAATGTTTCGATCGCGTATACTTCATTCTCTTCCATCTTTGTTCGCTCGCCTCCCTGTAAAAATCGGTGAA